ACCAAACAGTTACTGTACATTTAAATATAACAAAAACACGAAATAGGTTACAAGAATATATAGTTGGCACTTTGATAAAAATTTCTAACTTATTTTAGAGCTGGTTTTTTTTTCCCTTGTTTTACTTGAAAGGCTCTAGGATAGTTTTCTACTTCAGTTTTTAAAAATCTGGCCCCCCATTAAGGATTTACAACAATAAGTGGCATGCCTTCCTGACTCGCCTTTAGGCAACTAATGACAAATAAGTAGAAAATATTTGAAAGGACGATAACAGTCAGATTAAATCAAATCTAGTTGCGAAAATATTTACATAACTGAAGTTATTAGCGTGCAAAATGAACAAAAAAAATCAATGTCAAAAAGGTAATGTACATTCTTCCGTGAAGTTAGTCCCGTGGTGTTTACAGAGTTGGAATGTGGTGTACCAGGATGTGTGACCTGCTGAATAAACCTCATGAACTGCTTCTAAACCTACCTGATTTCAAGAGCTGAAACAGGATGAGTCCTGCTGGCTCTGGTCTACATCTCGTCCTGCAGAGAGGTCCTCAGAAACAGTTTCTACCCTTAAGCAATCACGGCCATTAACTCACAATAAAACTGCCTCTTTCCAAACCCCACCCCCCAATTTGCAACAAATACCTCATGTCTAGTAGCATAATTTCTACTTTTAATAAATCCTATTAATATTTTATGTATTAAAGCAAGTGAAATTCCTTTTGTACTGCACTATAAGACTTGTGATTCTATTTATTTTTGTGTATGCCATGTCCTAAAGAATCTTACCTACATGTTTAGGGTCATGCTGTTTTCATAAAGTAGAATAAATCTAGAAGAAATACACACAKCTTATGTCCTGCTTTTGAAGTATTCAGAATTGTATAAAATAAAATCTACTGTTGTTAACTCATTTGATGTCAGGAACTACATTGAGTATTTCTGAATATTATGTAGACACAGAGTAAATGTTACAATATTCTGACTGTGTTCCAGCATCTTGCCCAGGAAGGATGAGTGGGAAGACGAAGAAGAAAGCTCGGTGAGTTGCGCCACCTCTCCATAAAGAAACACACACCCCTTGTTTCTCTAAACTTGTGTGGAGTTCCCATTGACTTACATTATTTCTACAGTCTAATCCTAAACCTAACCTCACAGGTAACCTAATCGTAACTTCAAGTAACAGTTTTGTAAAAAGGCTACTTGAKTACTAACATTATAAGGTGATTTATTATTTTAAAATGTTGTCATCAGACTGACAAAAAAAAATTAGAAAGTTATGTGCTAATTTTGGTGTTTTTAAAGACTAAGGCCCTTTCCCAATTAGTGGCTACACACTCCCTATTCCCTACACACTACACTCGCTGTGAAGCCCCCTCGCAGCTGAACTGAGTCCCCAAGATGGCGCTGTATACACCCTCCCCTTTTGAGACGTGCTCTCCTCACACAGGAACAGGAAGCTGTCGTCACCATGGTAACAGTCCAAGCTCTGGCAGTGACTGAATGCAGGAGAACAAACGCTTTTTTAAATAAGACCAAAGTAAATATTTAATTAGGTCCACGTTTTAGAGAGTTTTCAGTTATGACTGTATTTGTAACAAACAGTGCAATAACTTGTCAAAATAATTGCACTTTTAACATTTTTTAAAATGATTTATTTATTTTTTCTTTATTTTTTAAATGTTTCCTTTCTTCTGTTTTTAAATATGGACCAGGGTTCTGTGTCTTTAATAAAGTTTGAATTGAATTAAACATGATTTATGGGAAATTATATTTGTTGGTGAGGTGTTTACTTAATAAACATGTGTAGAAAACATATGTGGAACTTTTATTTATACGTCCCGTGTTCCATGTCGACCACTATTTGGTGCTGCATCTGCTGCTCAAGTCTGCATCGGATGTAGAGGGCTTAATAAGCCACTCGCCCTCATACCTTTTTTTTTTCCCTTTTTTTTTTGTAATATAAATTCAAGTGTACAAACGTTTTAGGATATAACAACAATATACAGGAGAAATAACATTTTCAAGGCACAAGATAGAAGAGAGCAAACAATAGAAATAAACAAAAGAAAAAAAATTCATAMACGTTCACACAGTTGTACAACAATCAGAAGTCTTTAAATATTTTCAAATTTTCTATCCATTCCATAGAGACTTTGTATTCTTACATTTCATTCGTTTTAAAGCAATTAAATAATTTTCAACAAGACGTTTTTTAAATACGTTAAAGATAGGCTTTACCCTTTTCCATTTACAGCAATGAATGAAATATTTTGACATCAGTAATAAATTGTTTAAAACRTAGTCTGATTGTGCATCCTTCAAGTTCAATCCAAATATTATGTTGTCCAGAGTAAGTGTGTCCTGTAGCTGGATGTTTGTAGAAAGCCAGTCCAGAAAACCCTCCTAGAAAGTTTTTGTGTAAATACATTGATAAAAAAAGATGATCCGTTGTTTCGATGTTGGATTCACAAAAAACACAGTTGTTATGGTCGATATTAAATCTCCTTCTCAGCATTTCATAGGATGGATAAACTTCATTCAAGATTTTAAAATGCACTTCTTTAACTTTTGGACT